TACAAATACAAATCCAAAACACCTATGGTGAGAAAGTTATACAATGGGGCAAAGGTAATTGAGGTGTTACTCCAACATGGTTACAAGGTGTTCTGTATGGTACCATTTTTCAATATGACAATATTGTTGGAAGCGATCAAGACTTTTACTGTTAGCATTTACAGAATTGGTCACTCTTTTCGCAGGAGGTGACTCTAAACACTTGTGTTACTCTGAAGAACGATTCGGTAAAAAGGACAAGAATTCTACAGGAGATTCGATTGTTAGTTGTATAGTTTTCATAGCATTTTGGTGCTGTCATATTAACAGTTTGAGTAAGAAGAGTTGAGTTACTCGTATTCAGGCGATTAGCCTCACTTACCCTCGCAAGTATGGTGGATCTAAAGCATTAGTAACAATACAGAACGTTTAGTAGATTGAGCAAGGATTTTGCATAACTGTCCATTATTGATATTCAGCTTTTTTCAATATAAATATGGATCTTGGTGCTCGTATTTTATAGGTATTATTGAGAATCAAGTTTTAAAGACGCTACGATCAGTTAATGAAACACACAAGTGCAGTCACATATGGTAAATATGCACGAATATAGAGCGATGTATGTTAGCACAGAAACATTTGAGATTATTTGTTTATATCTCACATCAAGTTGACAAGCCCCTAATGATAAGGAGCAGAGAGGCAGAGGTCTGGTCTACTCGGTGGTCTACGTCAGGACGTTGGATGCCACCGACCGGTAAACCATCAATTTGAGGCTAATGAGCGGGTTCTCGAGGCAACATAATACGCGTCATTATGGCTTGAAATCTTAATAGGTCAGTATCGGTCGCATTAAGATTGGTCGTCTATTAGTCCGTAACATATGTCGAGCCGCCTCGGAATCGGTCTATTCCGCTCTTTGAATTAATGATGGCCGGAAGACGGATATTGTAATAACCGATCGCATAATCTTGTAATGCCTCTGACTGGAAATGATTGTTTGACGAAGGTCCTAGTAGGTTTCCCAGTTTGGTCCTAGCATCACCCGAGACTGTTATGTCCCATCGTACAAATGTTGCGACAGTTGACGATTCCGCGATCTGTTCTGGTAGGTTTTGTGCTGTTTTATGCTCCTATAAAAGACGGAGTTACTGTCGTTTTTGTCTCCGGATACGGTGGTCACCCTTGTAGGGGACGGTCTCCTGCAGGTGTAAATTCGACGACGTTAGGCAGATGTCGGACACTACTAAACGGGGAGTAAAATACGTAAAAGGGAACAGAAGAAGGAGTTATACGCGGACTTAGTGCCATGACTCCGACTGGATACATAAACGTACTGAGAAAGTTACAAGGACATCATAAAAAAATTCATCTACAGAAGTTTTTATTTTAAGATATTCACTCGTTTGGAACCGTTGGGGAACTTAAATCGATATTTTAAATTATTCACACAAAACGATAATACGCGCCACAATTCTGTGAACAGAATAAGTAATTAATATGAAATACTTGGAATATCCGAGACGACATAAAGAAATAGACGTAAAAGATAAATTGAGTTTGTTAAAAATACAACAAAGATTTTTTTGAAACCACCACAGACAGTAGAGATAATCGCCCGTTTGTGTACTACTAGATAGCGACTATTTATGCCCAGTTGGCTCGGTAAAACATCAGAGCGAGAATTATAATCTTGCAGATAAATCATGCGAGTCATTGTTCTACAACATTAAACGTTGTCATCGGCGTCGCGGGAGATGAATCTTGCAACTAATCGTGGAGAGCAGAGGCTGTGACCAACTGAGACACCGTGTGTGTGGAATTGGCGGCGTCTCAACACACACCTACTGTAAATGAAACTGTACACAGGAACAACACAGTGGTCGTTGAGAGCAGAGGCTGTGACCAACTGAGACACCGTGTGTGTGGAATTGGCGGCGTCTCAACACACACCTACTGTACATGAAACTGTACACAGGAACAACACAGTGGTCGTTGAGAGCAGAGGCTGTGACCAACTGAGACACCGTGTGTGTGGAATTGGCGGCGTCTCAACACACACCTACTGTACATGAAACTGTACACAGGAACAACACAGTGGTCGTTGAGAGCAGAGGCTGCGACCAACTGAGACACCGTGTGTGTGGAATTGGCGGCGTCTCAACACACACCTACTGTACATGAAACTGTACACAGGAACAACACAGTGGTCGTTGAGAGCAGAGGCTGTGACGAACTGAGACACCGTGTGTGTGGAATTGGCGGCGTCTCAACACACACCTACTGTACATGAAACTGTACACAGGAACAACACAGTGGTCGTTGAGAGCAGAGGCTGTGACCAACTGAGACACCGTGTGTGTGGAATTGGCGGCGTCTCAACACACACCTACTGTACATGAAACTGTACACAGGAACAACACAGTGGTCGTTGAGAGCAGAGGCTGTGACCAACTGAGACACCGTGTGTGTGGAATTGGCGGCGTCTCAACACACACCTACTGTACATGAAACTGTACACAGGAACAACACAGTGGTCGTTGAGAGCAGAGGCTGCGACGAACTGAGACACCGTGTGTGTGGAATTGGCGGCGTCTCAACACACACCTACTGTACATGAAACTGTACACAGGAACAACACAGTGGTCGTTGAGAGCAGAGGCTGTGACCAACTGAGACACCGTGTGTGTGGAATTGGCGGCGTCTCAACACACACCTACTGTACATGAAACTGTACACAGGAACAACACAGTGGTCGTTGAGAGCAGAGGCTGTGACCAACTGAGACACCGTGTGTGTGGAATTGGCGGCGTCTCAACACACACCTACTGTACATGAAACTGTACACAGGAACAACACAGTGGTCGTTGAGAGCAGAGGCTGTGACGAACTGAGACACCGTGTGTGTGGAATTGGCGGCGTCTCAACACACACCTACTGTACATGAAACTGTACACAGGAACAACACAGTGGTCGTTGAGAGCAGAGGCTGTGACCAACTGAGACACCGTGTGTGTGGAATTGGCGGCGTCTCAACACACACCTACTGTACATGAAACTGTACACAGGAACAACACAGTGGTCGTTGAGAGCAGAGGCTGTGACCAACTGAGACACCGTGTGTGTGGAATTGGCGGCGTCTCAACACACACCTACTGTACATGAAACTGTACACAGGAACAACACAGTGGTCGTTGAGAGCAGAGGCTGCGACGAACTGAGACACCGTGTGCGTGGAATTGGCGGTGTCTCAACACACACCTACTGTACATGAAACTGTACACAGGAACAACACAGTAGTCGTTGAGAGCAGAGGCTGCGACCAACTGAGACACCGTGTGTGTGGAATTGGCGGCGTCTCAACACACACCTACTGTACATGAAACTGTACACAGAAACAACATAGTAGTCGTTGAGAGCAGAGGCTGCGACCAACTGAGACACCGTGTGTGTGGAATTGGCGGCGTCTCAACACACACCTACTGTACATGAAACTGTACACAGGAACAACACAGTGGTCGTTGAGAGCAGAGGCTGTGACCAACTGAGACACCGTGTGTGTGGAATTGGCGGCGTCTCAACACACACCTACTGTACATGAAACTGTACACAGGAACAACACAGTGGTCGTTGAGAGCAGAGGCTGCGACGAACTGAGACACCGTGTGCGTGGAATTGGCGGTGTCTCAACACACACCTACTGTACATGAAACTGTACACAGAAACAACATAGTAGTCGTTGAGAGCAGAGGCTGCGACGAACTGAGACACCGTGTGTGTGGAATTGGCGGCGTCTCAACACACACCTACTGTACATGAAACTGTACACAGGAACAACACAGTGGTCGTTGAGAGCAGAGGCTGCGACGAACTGAGACACCGTGTGCGTGGAATTGGCGGTGTCTCAACACACACCTACTGTACATGAAACTGTACACAGGAACAACACAGTAGTCGTTGAGAGCAGAGGCTGCGACCAACTGAGACACCGTGTGTGTGGAATTGGCGGCGTCTCAACACACACCTACTGTACATGAAACTGTACACAGAAACAACATAGTAGTCGTTGAGAGCAGAGGCTGTGACCAACTGAGACACCGTGTGTGTGGAATTGGCGGCGTCTCAACACACACCTACTGTACATGAAATTGTACACAGGAACAACACAGTGGTCGTTGAGAGCAGAGGCTGCGACGAACTGAGACACCGTGTGCGTGGAATTGGCGGTGTCTCAACACACACCTACTGTACATGAAACTGTACACAGGAACAACACAGTAGTCGTTGAGAGCAGAGGCTGCGACCAACTGAGACACCGTGTGTGTGGAATTGGCGGCGTCTCAACACACACCTACTGTACATGAAACTGTACACAGAAACAACATAGTAGTCGTTGAGAGCAGAGGCTGCGACGAACTGAGACACCGTGTGCGTGGAATTGGCGGTGTCTCAACACACACCTACTGTACATGAAACTGTACACAGGAACAACACAGTAGTCGTTGAGAGCAGAGGCTGCGACCAACTGAGACACCGTGTGTGTGGAATTGGCGGCGTCTCAACACACACCTACTGTACATGAAACTGTACACAGAAACAACATAGTAGTCGTTGAGAGCAGAGGCTGCAATCAACTGTGTCACCTAAATCCATACGGATATCTAAATCCACGGTAAATCTAATTGTTGTATGAAAAACCACAATTGTGCTTTTGTAGAATCTTTTAAAAGGAAATGGAATACTCTATAGTACTCCTACTCCTTATAGTAAGCCTACTCGAAAGTAATTAATTAAAATATAACAAATAATTTTACACAATTTTCAAACATAAGTTAATTAGAATCTGCAGCAAAATAAATGCCTTTAACATGTTTTCGAAATAAAATTAACTATGCAAGCTGCAAGAATACAATCGCCCATCATTTTCGACATTACACAAATGATCAATTAAAACTGTAACTATATTGGTAATCAAACTAATAGTGTTGTCATAATAATAAAAGTGAGGAGTGTGGACTTACCAGACTGATTTCTTCATTGTTCATCTGAGCATCACATGAAACAAACCAACATCACATCAGAATACGAGGGCTGATCAAAAGCTTTACATATCACATACAACATTGATAATGAAAATGTTCTTAGCTTTCAGGAATATGAAATAAAAACATCGATATAATGTATTGATTTTGAGCAATTAGTACATCTTATACGTTGTACATCCCACTTATAATAACTAAACGATTATTCCAAAATGTGTATAAATATTTTATAAAAACTTGTAAACAATGTTACAATTAATTATGGATGTATATATACCGCTTTAGGTTCAGGGACACTGATGGGGGATGTTTGAAAAATAAATTATTTTCAAATCCTTATATAAACCCAAGCCTTGAAATGATCAGCTCTCGAAATCTGCTGTGATGCCTTTTTGTTTATTGCCCAGTTTATAGCGTTTCAATCAAGTCCCCCTTCAGAGCCCAGTCGTAAGGGTTTGGATTGCAAAGGGTTGGATTCATACAACTTAAACAATAATTGTACAACTTCAGGTTTAAAAACTACTATGTGTAATAGCTAGCATAAATGGATATTTTATGTAGAAACATTCTCATTGCAACATGTAAGGATTAGGAAAACATTATAGGCAGACCAGATAAATACAATACAAAAGTGTTAATGTACATGGACATTACTCGATTAAATACATGCAGAATAAATTTATTTTAACTTTCTTTTTGAATTAAAATAAGAAACCTTCAGAGGATATCGTTGAAATTAACATTATCGATTTCTTGAAGCAAATTATAACCTGATAAAGGAAGCTCCATGGTACATGGTACAACTCCATTTGTTTACTTGTTGACAATAGAATAACAATTCGCATTAGGTGACGTTTTCAGAGAATTTAAAAATGAAGATTACATAATAATTTAACACTGTGTTAATACTGTGCTGAGTATAAAAATGTAGAACTCGACGCAAACTAATTAATGATTTAAAACATTGCAAATTAAGATATTACTGCACTTCTTATAACAGCCACTCAATCTGAACATACGAGATCATAAAAATACAGTTACTTTAGGGTTAGTAACTTCTTGATATGCATTTGTAATTTCGTATATTGTTTAAAGGGTTTGAAGTTATCAATATTTAAAATATGAATAGTGTACTAGGATTTTCTCAACAGATGTGCCCAGCAAAAGCAGAGTTGGTTCCACCCCCTTATCAAGAGTCTGTGAGGGTATGTATTCGGGAACACCGGGTAATAAGATAAGGGAATTACCGCATAAAATCAAGAATGCGGGGAGTTGTTCTCTCGATCGACGGGCTCTGATTACGACTGCGATTGTGTTGACTTTGCTGATATACCGAAACCGAACTTAAGGTAAATCCGATTTTGTAGCGTTCGTCGTAAATAAAACAATAGAGTCGGAGGAAGAACGCCGTTCACGTTCCCCTCCACACTGCACTAAGAAAGATTACATTTCTCTTTCCTCCCTCGACCTCCCGTTTCTCCCGTTTCTTTCGTTCTCCGCCCCCGACGTCGCCGATGTCGAGGATCAGAGTTACACTGCAGGTGTGGAGTCTAACATCTCATCCGTATACAAAAACAGGGCAGTAAAACAATACCATCGCAATGTACATCATTATGGGGCACTCCATGGAGTAGATAGTGGGATACTCCACTGAGTATATCTACGAGTATAACTGTATTGTAGTCTCTAGACAAATATAAATTTGCTTCGTGCTTGACGCGAAAACGTGAATCATTTTGATTTAACAAAACATGTTTATGGAGATATTTTGGATAACAGTATTAAGAGTATGTAGATAAAATAATTTTATTTTCCCTGCGGTATTGATGTTTTAGATTATTTACGTAGAAATTTACCTCCCTTCCTTGAGCTTCAAATTTACTAGACAAAAAGGGTACAGTATTCGATTTCATGGGCAATGGTAAGTGTATTAAAGTGAATATGGACACGAGTTGTTCAAAATAAGAAACGTTAAAACTTTCTATTATTTGCATTGTCAGTATCAATCTATAGTCCTAGATCAACGACGATATTTTCCACCTTTTGCACTCATGGTTGATTGATAAAGAATAAAAGATAAATGAGACAAATAGTAGACATCATCCGATTCCAGGGGCAAAACATAAGTGTTTGAAAGTGTGTGTTGGTATATTTGTTCCCATGTCTGAGGTGTTGAAGGTGGCGAGGACCACATTAGTATGAGCGATGTAGGTGTAGACTGAGGACTGCAGAGTGTACGTAACAAATGTGGGAACTAGCGACCCGACGATACGACCGCACGTACGCTTGTTACCTACGTGTTCTAGCGACGTGTCCTCCGACCTACTTAAAATACAAATCTGTACCTTTCGCTTCGGCTCGCGTGGACGGCGAATGTAAAGAAACGACCTTCTTCTAACTCCTTCCTCAGTCGCAGCTCGGCTATCAATGAAGACTTCAGACGCGCCGCTGGGTGTATTCCGTCCACAAGCGGGCGCTGGTGGTGAATTTTGTCGGATGACTCAGGGTCCTTGTGAAATTCAACTATGTACATCAAATATTGTAGAGCGTGTATTTGGAGCAAAAGGTTGCAGACACGGGCCGCATTCACTGGACGAGTCTGGCTATTACATGAGCGACACCGGAAGACCGTGGTATCATATTGCACGCAGCCTGAATATAAGTTAAACGTAAGCTTCCAGATTACAGGCGAATGTGTGTAACAACCAACAGGTAAAACTGTTTAGTTTTCTATTATATTGACCATTCAGGGTGATAATCTTACTTATCGATTGTCTTCTAATTTCCCTCTGAGGACTAAACGCAGTTGTGTGTTAAAATACCCGCTTGTGCGGCAGATGACACGGGTCTAGCTGTTATTGGCGTCGAAGCCTTGCACTACCGATGCTCTATTCCACTCCGGAAGGTATATGTCTTGCCCACCCTGAATACATTATGTTAACTAAGAGAATCCCTCGACCGCGTCCCGTGCGCATCATAAAAGACGTTTGGACAAAATTAATATTACTCTTGTAAAAAACGGAAGTGTCACAGTTAGTGAACGCGCATTGACTACTATTTATGTGCAAATGGCCCAGCGCACGCGCTACCGCCCGAACGACAGTTCTTCCGCCCACCCCACCCGACGACCGACGACGCGACGCGCGACGAAGCGACGATGTTGCGGCACGTGCGAACTACCATCATCACTTCCTAATCCGATATCCTACCAAATATTAATTGCTCTACTCGAATGCGTATGTAAATGTTGACCGTCGATATGTCACTTCCGTCTCCGGCCTTGCATCCCCTTGGTGGCTCCTGCCCCTCTGCTGGGTTTGGTGGTTGAGGTTAGGTCAAACTTTGCGTTCTTTGTCAGATAAACGATGGTGATAATACTGCAACTGGTGACGTTTGCTATAGATATTGTTAGCAATATTATTATAATACAGTAGTTTTATTTATTTCTAAATATTTACATCATTGAAATTACTAGATTGTATTCGCAGTGAGTGGTTCACATACACCTTCCTGAGGATCCTGGTTGTAGACAACCAAGATTACCAAAAAGAGAAACACAGGAACGCTTACTTGATAGATTTGAATACGCACTGAGGTGGTGAAGTCAAGTGTAAATTGAGATGATTGCGGATGGAGAAACCGCATACGATATTGTGTGAAAACGATGTGCAAGATGAGTAGAATGTGTGTAGACAGGGTAAAAGTAGGTTGCCAAGGTGTACTTGGAGACTACACATTCCATTGTGACTAACATGTAGTTGCTGTTGCTACCTTACAACACAGTCCTGTGGTCGAACAAAGGAGGAGCGGGTGTGGGTGGAGTGAGCGATAAATCGAGTGTAGAGAGGTATACCACCCCTGCAACCACCGGTGGTCATTAATACTCGCGATAAGAACAAATGAGGTTCGTCGCACCACAAGCCAGTCCTACCTACAATTTTCCTCTCCTATTTAATCACAAGACTCCTAAATTGTGAACTCCCGAGTGTTTCTTTTACTTAGCCCGATAATTGCCCTCGGCCTATCCGTGTTCTGCTCGCTTCCTTCTGTAAATAAAGTTACCGAGATAGTCCGCGCTTTGCATATTGTTTTATGTAAATACTTTAACCGAACCCTCTTCACGCCACTTTCTGCCGCCTTTGGTTTGCACTTGCTCTCTCACTTGTTTTTTAACAGCTTCAGATGAAATGTTTATGATTTTTTTACGCATTTTATAGAATTGTTTATTGATATGAATGTATTTAACACCTTGTAAATCACAATCAAAAAATTGACTATAAATCGATTCACAGTAAAGAAGTTTGTACTTCATACGTTACAAATTTTACTTTTACATAGAAGATTTACCCTATAAAATAAAATCAAGTTAAATAATTTATGAAATAACACCTGTAATACTGTTTACACGATTACCCACAAAAGTTTAATGGTCTTTGGTACATATACAATTATTGTTCATTTAACTCAGTACAACCCGCATCGATGAATCTATAATCTAGTTTGAAACAACGTTACATTCTTGAGGTTCCCATAACCATATGTTGTAATTGTTAAAAACTATATAACCAAAACAGTATTCATAATTGGTTATAACGAGTATTAGTGGTCCAATCCGACGGGACGGTGTATCACATCACTGCGACTTTAGTACTCTCGGTGGTTAAAAGAAAGACACGCGTTATCGAGCCGATTACTGAGGTCCGGGTCCAGTTATTTTTACGATCGTATGTCGGGGCCTGTCTATTACACTTGTAGGGGAGGTTGCGGGGGCGGTGCCAACCCAGGCACCACCCTCCACCCCCACGATAAACAGTTTCCTCGCACGAGTTCTGTTCCGCAAATGAAGTCGCAGCCGTGATCGTTTACTTTGTCCCTCATTTTGTAAACAATGTCAGGACGGTATGTGAGGCCTGACTTATTACCCCCCTTTTGTTATCTCCGCCGCCCCCTCTGTCCCCACGCCGGACGGTGTTAACCCCCGGAAATTGTACGATTCCGAGCGC